GTAGAAAGAGCTTATTCTTCACAGTAAACTACATGGTTGTCTGCAACGTAGTCAATTACAAGTTTTTTAACTTCATCTACAGATTTCCTAGTCAAATCTCTAATTGGAGCAAACCACTTAAGTTTTACTTCAGGATGAAGTACGGCTGCCACAATTGCGTCATTGATTTCCGAAGATAAGGTAAAATATTTCTCAAACCTATCAAACAATCGACTTTGCAAAAAAATTAGCTGTTGCTTCAGGTAGTTTTCCTTGCCATTATTAATAATACGATCAATTTTGGTTTTGATCGTTACCAAAGTCGGAATAAGCGTCCCATAAAAAACTCCTTTTTCTCCTTGCTAAAAATCGAGTGCGTCAGCGAAAGGTTTCATAGCAGAAGCATAATCCTTAAGATAAAGCATGTCCTCTTCTGTAAATGCTGGAAGTTCCCATTTTGTACATATGACAAAGCTTTTCATCTCTAGATATAATTTTCTGCACGGAGTCATAAGCAGAATTCCATCTGGTGACAACTGGGTAGCTAAGCAAAACACCTAACTCATCTCGCATTATTTCTGAAGATTATGGTCTTTCCGCTTTCATCCACAAGTTATTACATTTAGCGAACACCTATTGAGCAACAAAAAGAAAAAGTTCCACATTAAAAAAATATAACAAAATATTATTGCAATTAAATGAGCCAAGGATATATATAAATATGTATCTACAATTCATCGACGCTTCGAATATAATTGGTGATAATATCCTGTCGAATACTACTAGTACTTTAAGTAATTTAAAATAGTATATCTTACTTGAGTATGTCTCTGGAACAAAGTAGGTAGTGTCATTTTTAAAATTCTTAATGAAGTCATTACTTGAAATTAAATTTAAGGTATAACTAGCACACCTAATGTGCTTTGGGAGTTTTCGTATTCGTTGAGGTCCTTCGTCCAGCCTCTCGAGGGATATGTCTAAATCGAAATCATCCATTGCCACACCAAACTCTCTAAAAGCTTTGCAAAAATTTGATCCGTTGTCGGTAATAGTGGCAATTAGCTTATCATATATGTCAAACACGGAACTTATGCTGCACATAAATTCAGCAATCTGATCGTAAGTATGCGAACCACTAAATCGCTTACAAGCCAATGCAGCAGAATGTCTTTGTTGGTTATCATGAAGCCAGCGACACGTGTACCCAAAGAAACTTCGTGTTTTGCAGGACCACACATCTGCGGCGGTACAAACATATGGTACCTTCTTCAACTCTTGAACTATTGTATTTTGCAGTAAATCAAATTTTTTTCCATTAATCCAGTAATAGTTTTTCTCGTTGGAAGTGTAGCACAATTTTCAAACAGTTGTTTAAAAAATTTATTTTCTACAACAGTTAGTGGTAGCGCTGCATCAACAATAAATTTTAAAAGAGTACCAACAAACTTGTGCTTTTTGGTTATTGATTTAGTTTGTAAAAATTGTGACCCTTTTGCTTCAAAATATTTTTTGTGATCCTCTGGATGCAAACGCTTTAAGTGTATGAGGAAATTTGAGGAAACACCGCGTGTTCCTTTGATGTGCGTTGCTGCTGTTTTGCATAGCAAACAGCGAGCAACAAGCTGGCTACTAGTTTCTGACGATTGTGATGACGACGATGGCTGTTTAATTAATTGAATTTAAAAAGTAATATTCACGCATTTTAATATATGAATTTTCTTACAGTGGAATCGAGCTCAAAATATGTTCCATCGAAAAATGGAGCTAAGCTTGATTTTGTCGTATTTTTTTGGGGACAAATCTCCTGATTCTTCTTCATTTTCAGATGATCGCTTTCTGGACGGTGAACTATTTTCAGTTAAGTTAACTGCACATCCACTATCACTTGCCTCAAACTCACCTTCACTGGACATTATTTGAAAAAACTTAAGACAATTATTACGCTAACAACTAAATTGTCAAACCGCTAAATTAAATAGATATGCTTCGAAAATTTTATTTTGACAACAATAACCACGCGATATAAATTTTTTTTTAATTTGGAGGTATATTTTAGCTTACAGGTTATCTTTTAAGTCACCTACGCCTACATATAAGGTAAACTTCAAAGTCTAGGCGAGCCCCTCCTGCCCCTACGTAGCGACACCCATGTATATACAGATCCCAATACCCAGTTCTAGTCCTCTACCACAAATATATGCAGTTTGAAAAATTCGGTTTGTTTTGTCGCTTTTCTATCTTCTTAAAGATGCCCGGACAAATTTGACTCTGAAGTTTTGAAAATTAACAAAGCAAATATTGGAAGTTCATTCAAATAAAATTATACATATTTTTTATTTTCTCAATTCTCTTTTTAATTTTTCAATTAATGTGCAATATTATACTCCGTTGGGAAATTAAACCACCATTATTGTTATTATTATTATTTATAGTTTCAACATAATCATATTCGAATAACAAATAATAATATATTTTTAATGTTAACAGATGCGTTGTTTGATTGTCTTTTTACAAAGTTTTGGAACAGCTTTTTAAAATGTTTATGAACTTTATAAAATATGGGTGCGTTTGGGCTGGAAATCTGAGCCGAAAGCAGGATGAAAATGGCGTAAGTCTGCGGCTGTGGTTGCAAATTTCTCATTAGGTTTTATCAAAAATTTAGCCAACCAAAGAATCTTTAACACTTCCAACTTTATCGCTCAAGTAACTCTTATTCCTATCGAAATAGTTCCCAATTGTTGTATCGCTTTCGTTTCATAGACGTGACGCCTTAGTGGAACAGTTCTTCCCGAGAGCGGATAAGAATTCGAAATAGTAGCGATATCATCGGCGATGATTTTTACAGAAATGTCGTGACGAATTAGTAACTTCCGCAGTAGAAAATGCTGGCAGGGTAATAAACGGGAAAATTTTAGTAGACGGACGGCAAATTCTAGAAAAAAGGGGGGTGAATAGGACCCCCTGATTTCAAAAATACCCCGCTTTTTTCTAGCAACCCTATAGCTCTTATATAATTTATTGTTAAAGTTTTCATATAAACGATGAATAACAGGCTAACCTAATATTCACGCACGCCGCCAATTTACTGTCAAAAATGTCTCATGCACATACAACTTGTATGGGATCAACCGAAATTGAACGGCGTGCGTATGAAGCTAACTCAATTTCCAATTTTTGTTCTGCGTGACATTTTGATTTGACGTTTCGCTCAATGAATCAAATGCAAACGCACGCAAGCCAATTTCGGGCGACGCAAAAAAACAAACTCGACTGCGTGCGTACCAAAACGCAAGCCGCGAATATTAGGTTAGCCTGTAAGATAGCCACGGTACATTGAACAGGTAGTATCAGTAGAGCAGCTGATTTGATTTATTTTCAAATTATTTGGTCTCGAAAATGTCAAATATTTTTAATTTTTTCTCACGAAAATTATAAGTTGTTAAAATCCATTTGCTTGTGAAACCTTTTTCCATACAAAACAAGCGATTGAATAGCAGCTTTTGGAACGTTCGCCCAACTCGGCAGCACGACCGCTGATTACTGGGCCTTGCAAAGGATGGATCAATGCTTCGAGAA